AGAGAGAGAGAGAGAGAGAGAGAGAGAGAGAGAGAGAGAGAGAGATTGTTCGTTGACTAGAAAAACTTACGAGTTTACCTAGCTTTTTCAGTCTCGTAGCCATGAACGTCACATTTACAATCTTCTGGATCGGGTCTGAGAATATGATACGGTCGAGTACCGGTGGTACAATCCATTGATGGTGAGAGCGGTTTTTTGGAGGTTTCACTAACTTTGGAGGTTATACTGACAAAAATTTCGACATTTTCCACCTACACAATTTCGTCAAGTTTCTTCAAAAATAATTTTTAGGACGAATAGCAAAGCCCGTTCAAAATTAAAAATTTTAAATATTTCAAATTGGAAAACATTGAGCGAGTCTAACAACAATAAGCGGGGTCTAAACGAGGCAAGACAAGAATGAATCTACATAGGAATAAAAGTGTCAGTGGCAACTTCTGGCAATTAACACGCGATGCGATAGGTTAATAAAATTCAATATTCTTTGAAAAATTCCAGATCCAGGCGACACGACGAGCATTCTTTCACTATCGCGATATTCGCGATGTAAATTAGTTGTGTGATATAGTCGCTCTGTATATAAAGCGCACACTGCACGCACTGCACTGCGGTTCGCACGTTTCTTTTCTATAGTTGAAGAGTTACGGTTTATAGCTAGATAATCTTTTAATTCTTGCCCGTATAAAAATTAACTGCGCGTGGTTAATTGATTTTTCTTTTACATAATTGGTTGCATTTTTTGTGCGTTTTTTACTTTTTACCATTACTTTTCCTCTCTATATCCATCTCCTCTCTTTTTTTTTTCAAGTGTAAACATATGTAATAGGTATATACATATAAGTTTGATATTTTTAATGCATTCCCGAAATATTTTGTACGTTATAATTGCATTTGAAAGTTGACGAAAATATAAATTATTATTATTATTTAATTTTTTATTATATTGGTTTATTAAAAAATTAGATTTTATATATATATGTTATACATGTATAATTTGGCGGTTAGTTGTGCAGATCTGTTGTTATAAGTTCAACTAGATGTAGTGGAATATTGATACTGGACTGGTAAAGCTTTCCTCTTTGCGCGATGTAATTTAGCTCTCATAATGGCGTGCCCAATTTTACTGATGCTATCTTGGTACTCTGATTTCCAGGATGGCAGTGACATTTGTCTTCTCTCGACATCGTCGCATTTTTTTTCGCGTCTTGATCCATTTTTTCGTTTATGATCGCGTTTCCAAACGCTCGTACATATCGAGGAAGGGAGATAACAATGCGGCGGACAATCAGCTTCTATGATTATCTTTATCGGCATCCTACATTGACCGCGTGCGTTCGTATCGATAACTGTCATCGCCATGTCACGTTGCGTCATACGTGCAGCTGCTAAAAACATCGAAATTTCTTCATATCAAATGGTGAAAGTGGGTGAAAGAGTAGTATCATTATATATAAAAAAAATTTATATAATAATTTATTCAGCATAAATTCTATGGTAAAATTAACCCTAGAATCCATGACTCATTTTTTTGACCTTCTAATCCATGACTGGGGGCAATATCGACCCCACGCTTTATTTGATCGTAAAACCGGTCCTATAGAAATAAAGGGCCTTTAAACCTACATGAATTTCTTCGTTTTTTAATAACGAAGAGAATGGTATACGGTAAATTTAATTTTACTCAAGTTTAGTTAGTGAAAAATCCATTTAAAGACTGAAAAACGCAGAAAATCAGCAAAAACCTCTTTTTTTAAACAAAAATTTGTATCTTTTTTTGTAATCAACCGATTTTAAAAATTCAAACGGGGTTTTAAAGAGGACACATTAGACTATTAGAAAAAAATTGTCATCGCTATGTTCTGTTCAAAAAGTATATTTATTTGGGACTATAAAGATGAAGAAATTCGCAAAGTTGAAATACGGAAAAAGTCGATGAAAAAACCATAAAAAATTGTATTTTAAGTATTATTTCATTTTTATTTGATACAAAATAGTAAAAAATATGAAAAAAATGAAACATTATATCGCCCAGCCATTTTCTGCGAAATGTCAATCTTCTATAGGCAACGGGATTTTTACCGACTAAATTGTGTGATATTTCGTCTTAAATAATATTTATGACTATTTATGCTCAGATTACGTAATAATACATGATATATATTGATTCTAGCAAAAAAATAAAATTAGCTTACCGTGACGAAACTCAAACGGCAAGTCACGACTGGGGTCGATATCGACCCCACGCCCGCTTTGCGACTGTGCTACTTCACTGCTAGCGAACAACTAACGCTGCGCCCGACATAACCCTACTTTTAGAAAGTTGAAATGAATTATGGTTCAGGTCCTGAGTCGATAATGTCACTCGCTAGCTCAGGAGCGTAGTTCAAAGTTCGCCTGGGGTCGAAATCGACCCCAGTCATGGATTCTAGGGTTAAATGACAAACGGTGACCATCTCACGAAAGACGAGGATTATATAGTCTCCTCTGTGTTTCCGCCACAACGAATAAATATATCCCTCCCCAATCGTAAGGGGCACCGTCTGTCTCGAGCGACAAGAGAATACTCAATCTGAGATGGTCAACGGTGAGATAGAACTATAGAATTTATGTTGAAGATGGTCCAAAAAGGGACCGAAACGTTCGAACATTAAATACAGAATAAATATTTTTTTGCATCGTAACCAGCGAATGGCTCTTAATTATCCCGTTTTCCTCCCGATTATACGATATATATTCCACACACTATTTATGTGATGAGTATTATAGACGTAAGTACTCACCAGGATCACTGTAATCCGCTTGATACGTCGTTTTCATACGATCGGCATCCACCCGTGTAATCGGTTCCTTCGGAAGTGAGTCCTTTAATGCCGTATAACCGTACAAATCAGGATATTCTTCTTTAAGCTTTAAAAATTAAAAATTCAGAGAATTTAATTTATTACACATTTATTATATTAATTTTACTTCATTATATTATTTCTTAATTATCATCTTACAAATCTCCTTATTGTTAGATATGTATTAATCTTATATTAATTTTCCGAAACAAATTCCGATACAAGAATATAAGCAGAAAGAATATAAGTCAAACATAAACGTAAATAAAATGACTTTTTTATTCTAGGATCCAATTATATTACAATTGACGAAAGGTCAATTGTATGTTAGACGGAATTTTGAATGTTTTTTTTTCTCACGCAAATACTGGGTAGCTGGGGATCGAATCGCGTTACGATCGAATCCGCTTCAGGAACCTGGTCAATCTTGGGATAAATCTTTGGCTCCAGAAGTCGTCCCATAGGACCTATCTGACTCCAATTGAGACACTCCTCGAGATTCCCGTCCCATCCTTCTTTATTACGTACTCGCCGCGAATCGATACAAGTGCAACCTTTAACGACGATTGGTTTAATTTTAGTTGGAGGTTGAGTACGACATATGGACGGTACGTAGGGCCAGGTATAATCCTTCTGATAGGTCGAAATGTAGTCGAAATGATTTTTTTTATTCATGATTTAATTTCCGGAGGGTGGAAGATTCCTTCACAATGATGGGCGATGAAAGCTTTATGAAAATGTCTCAAAGATTTCGAGCCATCGTTGTCATCCATCTACTTCTGCTGATCTTTTTAGCACGATCAACGGTCAAACATTTGTGTTAAATATATACTAAATGTATACATAAAATTTGTTCAATTATCTTTATTTACCTTTCATTGGGTCGCGATCGCCCAAGGGGCTCGGGAAAGCCAATTCGACATCCACATTTTTGAAACTGTAATTTATTACTCTAAAAATTTACGCGTCATTCATCGTGCCATAGTAAATTTATATTTTGCAAATATTTCTACTGCAAATTTTCACATATTTCTAAATAAAATTGTAATATCGGACGATTTAACCCCGATATATGTAGATGTAAATTGATATTGATACATTGATAGTCGATTTGCGCGGAGGCGCTCTTCAAATTTTTACGTTTCTAATAATTTATACTTATACCACAGCTTATACTATTTATAGAAATATGTATACATATCATACAATCTTCTGATTTTCTGATATGTTGTAATCGCCCCACTATTTCTACTCTTTATTATTTCTAACGTGCGTACGTGTGTACATATTTATACATGCGTGCGTATAATACTATACTCGTAACTCGTACGTGCGTTCGCGTAAAAGAGTCACGATGCGATCTCGCTTTGTGTGTACTTGGTGCAAGACACACTACCGTGTCTCTTGATAAGTAATATTATAGACCTGATTATATTATCAGACCTGAAAGTCAATTTCGAAAAAATGAGTATCATCCATTTGATCCTCGTTTCTACATTTTTTTGATGCAAAAAAGCATTGCAAAGCTCTAGATTTCTATTTCTACAGCTTTGCAATGTTTTCTCGCGTATAACAAAAATATTGTATAAACGAGGATCGTAATAAGTTTGCAAGGTCGCAAGATCGCAAATTGACGAGCTAACCGGCGATTTTTCGAGGCAATAATTAATTCTTAAGTTTTTAATTGAAATCGAGTTTTCGTCATATTATATCCGACCACGTCATGCCGAATAATAATATTCCTATCCGGTTGTGACTCGAAGAGACTCGTTTATATTCGCGTTTCGGATAAACTAATTGTAAGTAATAATATGGTTGAATTAAAAAATTAAGAACGCCGCGCCGCGGGTTCTCATTGTCAGGGAACACGGTGGACTAGCGGGGTGGTCCGACTTTAGTTTAGAGTTTAGATTTAGTATAAATCATCCGCGCTTTTGCGCTTCTCTCGTCAACCGGCTAAACCGGCACCAACTGGCACGTTTTCGTGGCCGAGAAGGAAGGAAAGCTCGGAAACGGACTGTACCGATGGCGATGCCGCGATGATGGTCGCTCTAAAGATATCGCTGCGTCCACGCCACCAAGAATAGAACTGTGACGTCGTCATCTGAACATCGACGAAACAAGACGCGACGAAGCCGCGTGCATGCATCGACGGTTTCCCGTCCCGACAATCCCGACGCGGTGGGCAATTATTGGTTTATACTTTTCGCGCGTGCGATAAATCGGCAAAACGCACGCTTTAGGTAGATCACACATACCACATACGCCATCAGCCAAAAGGCTATATACTTACTTTTCCTACCCCGCAGGTCTCTCTCAAGCTCCTATCCCTAATACAATTCTTCCCGATTCATTCTAATCACTAATAATGTAAAATCATGTAAAGCTTATTATATAATATACCAAGATAGAACGAAATATGGCCAATAGTGCAAAGACGAATATTTAAATATTCCCCAATACGTGAATATTTGATAAACTATAATATTTACTATTTATATTATTTTTGTTCGAGAGATGTATATATAAAATCATCATTTATTTATATCGCTAAAATATCTCGAATCAACACCGTACGTGCAGCTTGACTCTGAGAATCTAGCTTAGGTATGTCAGACGGATGATCGATGGAACACACGATGAAGAATTTTTTTATATTACACATACACACATATATTATACATCCAACTTGTAACATAACTGCTAGAGTCGAGACGGATGACGAGATTGAGATTCGCGCGGCATTATCTGTTTCTAAAGATCTTTTATTTTATAATAAAGCTTTGACAAAGCTCCGAAAGATTTGCGAGTGGAGAAGTATTTCGCGAGAACGCTCCCCGAGTGTCCGGCAGACATGGTCGTAGACGTAGACGTAGTGCCGCCGACGATATGCCGTCGAGACAAAGGAACGATCGACCCAATGAAAGATTGAAAGAATCGACAAGATGAAACGAAAGAGAAATATACGCGAGAAAGCGCGACGCGGCCAAGCAATTTACGTCATCGCGCGAATTCTCTATCTCACCCACCTTTTTTTCCGCTTTGATCCAAAACAATCGTTCATTCGCGCGAGAAGACAAGGAAGCTCGAAGCTTCATCAGAAAAGTCACGCACCCGCTGCGCATCTCAACGTCATTAAAAATACGCCAACACATGCATTCGCGTCGTAAATTTTGGCTGGGAGCAAATTATTATTCGCACGATTTAGTGCAAGATAGTAATCGGCTCTGACCAGAAGCCTTTACGATGATTTATATGCTACGTTCTTGCATCTCGTCTCTTTCTTCTTCTCGGTTAGATTGTTAGTCGTAAAACTTTCAGTATCTTTGAGACTTGTGTCGAGACGAGACGATGATGAAAAAAGAAAGAAAAAGCAAAAGGAATCTTTTTGCCTTTGCCAAAGAGACTGAGCTGTATGCGAATTATGTGTCGCAGAAAAGTTGGTAAACTGCATGACAATGAGTTTAACGCGTATATTAGTCAAAGACATTATCTGCAATGGAGTATATACCGTCTATATAATACACGTACTCACAGTATGATTTATATTATATAGTTAAATTAAAGAACTTTTTTACAGAAGCTAATAAATCACTGACATTTCAATGATCCCGACATTGCAATATTTCCTATATAGTTTCATTATACAATTTTAAATGTAAAATTTCTGAATATTAAATCCCGCGTATATTAAAAAATAATACACGTTAAACAAAAAGATAAATAAAATATTAATGTCTATGCTCTACGTCAGTCTCTACGTCTACAAAGTGATGATTTTTAAAAAGAATTCGTTGGGATCAAGACGCCTCTTCCGGCCTCTTCTGAGAATATGACGCATCGTGTTCAATTTTTCAAGTTTTATTTCTGAGTAATTTTCATTATCTCTATCGATGGGCTAAAGAACAATAAATATATTTTTCGCGCAAGATATAGGAATGTTTATAGAATCCAAAAAAGATATCATGTTCAGTAAAACAAACTATCGTGTTCTTTAACTCTTTGAGAGTTAATGAACTACGTATCCGTTTGTGAGCTCATAGAGCTCCTGGAGCATTAACGAAATACGGCACTGTGACAACATACAGCATGTGTCACTTGGTTCGTCTATTTTATACCAATGAAAAGACTTGCACGAAAAAATCTAAATTTGTTTCGCAATGTTAAAAGAATTACAACAAAAATTCGCGAAAAATTGTCAAGAAAATTTAATTACAATCTACGACGATTAGATGCTTATATTATAAACATCTAAAATTACATAAACTTTAGAATGACCAGAATCCTTGGTCGAAACTCGGTGACGATTTGTCACGACGATTATAATCGTTACCACGATTATAATCATTGCCAGTATAGTCAATTAAATTCTTAATTGTGTTATATAATTATTGTAAAACCATTTTGTAGTGTTTGTCTATCATTTTTCTATACCTATAGTATTTATGATTGCCGAAATATATACGATAAGTGTTTAATGAAAATAAAAAGTCGCTCGACGCACGTTTCGTTATAAGATCTTGCGCGCTTTTTCGTCTTAGTAAATCGAAACTGTAAAATTGCCAGTATTAATAATAACTAATTCCAATAAGGCAGATTTCAAACTAACGAGTGCTTATGTTGAATCGTCTTTCTCTCGTGTGCAGTTGCCGAGATATAAACGTTTAATAAAAATAAAAAATCGCTTGGCGCCCGAATCCATAAGATTTTGCGCGCTTTCTCGTCCTAATAAACGGAAATAAACAATTGCCAATAATAAAAGTGAGCAATTCTAATAGAGTAGAGCACGATCTAAAAAGTGCTTCTTGAATCATCTTTCTGTCTTTCACGATTGCCGAGATATAAACGTTTAATAAAAATGATGCATGCGGCGAGGCGCGTGCATGATTCTTTTGGCCAGCTCGCGCTTTATTGCTTTAATAAACGAAAGTACATAATTGCGAGTAATACACAATTGAGTAATACCAATAGGGCAAAGTACGAAGTACAAAGTCTTCCCTTAATCATCTTTCTATCATTTACCGTTGCCGAGATATAAGCGTTTAATGAAAGTCAGAAATCATTTGGCGCCCGATTTTTACGGCACGCGCGCGCTTTATCATGTTAAATAAACAGAAGGACGTAATTGTTAATAAGAAAATCGTGATATTCCAATAGCGCAGAGTATAAACTAAACAGTCCTTTTCGAATCATCTCTATATCTTGGGTGGTAGCCCAGATACTTGCGATAAACGATAGGGAAAACTTTCTCGCGCCAACCCAGCGACACGTGGCCTTGACCTACTTTCGACGAGCAGCTGTACATTATTGATTTACTTTCTAAATTGGCCTTGACCTAGATCGCCGAGTCCGGAAATGCCGGCGCGCGGCGTGCACGACAACGCTGTACCGTTGTTTTTACTCGGCGAGAAATTCGACGCGCCGAAAATGCGACAAATGACACTACTTAAAGAAATCTCGAGAAATGCGTTTATTTTATCATTGCTATGTATCCTTTAATGCGAAGCATGCTCTCTCAAACAACATTAAACGATAAAAAGTTCCAAAATTATTGTTGCATAATGCTAGGCAACGAGAGAAAGGAGCTACCGTTGTTTTCACTCGGCAAGGAAGTCGGCGTGCCGATAATGTGACAAATGACATTAAAGAAATTTCGAGAAATACGTTTATTTTAACATCGCTATGTACTCTTTAATGCGAATCATGCTATC